TTTGCCCTCTCAGCCATCCAGGCCACAGGCTGCTAGCTCCTGCAGGTTTGCTGCTATGGAGCTGTGTGAAAGCAGGGAGCTGTTAGACTGACACCCTCTGCTCTGCTTTGGATTTATGTAGCATATATATACATATATAATTTTTTGTGATTAAATTATTACATAAATTTCACAAATTTCATAGTATTATGAGATAGTGATACTTAGTTAAAGTCACAAGCACATTCTAAACTTCATGAGGCACATTGTCATTATTGTGGTCTATAAACTCTGTGAATTCTATGTGCTTTGACAATACAGCTATTTCTTCCACTTCGGGTAATATGTACATTTCTTTCCTTTTGCTTAGTGTCAGCTGTTCCCTCTTTCCTTCTCCCTCCCTCCCTCCTATCGCTGCCATTGAGTTGCTTCGTTGGTTTTCATCATGTTCAGTGCAGCTGGTGGGTTCCACTGTTGTATGCTTTCCCATTTCCCTCTGATTCTGTGTCCTTGTCCTAGTTTCCCTCAGACATGTGCATATATACCATATATGTGGTCAGCAGCATGGGGTCATTTAGTAATGATACAACAAGATGAGAGGAGGTCCTTTGTTTCTCAAGTCCCGTTTACTTTGTTGTATCTCCTTACATTTTGTATTTAACATCCACATATCAGGGAGACCATGTGCCATTTGTCTCTTTGCTCTTGGCTTACCTCACTCAAAATGATTTTTTCTAGTTTCACCCATTCCCTTGTAAATGCCATTATGTTGTCCTTTCTAATGGCTGCATAATATTCCATTGTATAAAGGTACCACAATTTTTGGATCCATTCATCTTTAGTGGGGCATCTGGGTTGTTTCCATATCTTGGCTATTGTGAACAGTGTAACAGTGTGTAGCATGTATTTTTAAAAGTTAATATTTAAGAAACAAATGATACCTAAAGTTTACAATCTTTAAGAAGTTCAAGGAAAAAAAAAAGAAGTTCAAGGGGCACCGGTGGTTCATGCCATCTCAAACTAGAGGTTGAGAACTGAGGATTGCAGTTTGAAGCTAGACCAGGCAGGAAAGACTGTAAGACTCTTATCTCCAATTAACCACCAGTATACTAGAAGTGAGGCTGTAGCTTAAGTTGTAGACTATCAGCCTTAACTGAAAAAGTTAAAGGACAGTGCCTAGGCCCTGAGTTCAAGCCCCAATACTGTAAAACAATTTTTTTGAAAGGAAATGGAAAGACTTGGAAAAAATCATATTAAGTGAAGTAAGCCAGACCCAAAGAAACATAGGTTCCATGGTTTCCCTCATTTGTAATAACTAGAATATGTCTAGGATAGTTCTAGCAGAGGATCACAACAGCTCAGTAGCTATGTACATATGACCATATAAAATGATGCTAATCAAAATAAACTCCAAGATATGGAAGGAAACAAGAGATTTCTTCTTAATGTACTGTTTGCAGTTATTTCTTTTTCTTTCGTTTTTTCCTGATTGCTATGATTTGTCACTGTTTTTTTTTATTTTAGTACTCTTAGTGTCTTGTATATGTTTATCTGACTTGAGGAAGGAAAGCACAGAAATGGTGAGAAAAAGGACAAAGGGTGAACAGGGATACTAACAAGACAGTATGTTGGAAATGACCTTTACAACTTGTGGGGAGGGGAGTTGGGGAGAAGGGAAAGCAGGAGAAAACAAAGGAGGGTAACTTTGACAAAAAAGTACTCATTTCCTTATTTATGTAACGGTAACCCCACCGCATATCACCTTTACAATTACATTAAAAAAAAAAGAAAAGAAAAAGAAAAAAGAAAAAGCTCAAGTGAAGCTATATAATCTATTGCCCACCAGGTGGCGCCAAAGTCTGACACATCATCATATTTGTTTTCCTCTTGTTCCAATGTTTAGGTCTGCTAATACTGAACCTGGGGAGACTGCAAAGCATTGGGAAAAAATGGTTGAGTTATCATATTAATATAATCATACTAATGACTCTCTTTCTCTTTCTCTCTCTCATTTAGTAAGTTTATAACAACAGCATTTTCCATTAAAGGAAATTTTAGTTATCAAACGATAAGGGATTGTTTTGGAGGGCAGTGAGAAGTTCAAATTCAGACACTATAAACTTTCAGACCCTCAGACTTCTGAATGCTGACAGCAGTCATTAGTACTTTCCACAGACACAGTTCTCAGCAGCAAGAAGGGGAAGTGAGTATTTGAACTTCTAGCATTGTTAGCCAGCTACAGCCAGACTGACACAAGAATGGCTGAGATACGAAACACAAGGAAGGCCCAATGAGAGGGGAATTTGCAAACTCTCAAGTGCCCAAGGAATGGCGGATGGAGATCATAAAGCTTCTATGGCGGGTACCTGTTCACTTGGATTTCTCAATCAGTTGATACACTCTTCTTAATATGATAACAAGAAATTCTTTTTTAGGGGGGTAAGGGATAATACTTAGGGTCTCACACTTGCTACACAGGCACTCTATCACTGAGCCACACTTTCAGCCTTTTTCAGCACTGGATATTTTTAGACAAGGTTTCACTTCTTTCCCTGGGCAATTGAAATCTGCCTGTTTTAGGTTTCCCATCATAGCTGGGATGACAAGTGAGTGCTACCACATGTAGCTTGAGATGGAGTAGTTAAGATACTTAAGAGTTAAGGAGTTAAGTAGTTAAGAGTTTCTCAGACTTTCCTGTCTTGGCTTGCCTCAAACGATGTACTTCCTGATCTTAGCTTCAGAAGTATTACAGGTATGAGAAATCAGCACCTGTCTGGTAACAGGAAATTCTTAAGGGTCATGGTACTATATTAGAACCCTATGATTAGAATCTGTTTTTTAATTATTTTTAAAAGCTCCAGCTCACTCTCTTGAAGGAAATACCATACTAGGAGTGAAAATGGCCTACCTCTGAGAACTCTAAAGTCCCTGGTCTCTGTCCCCAGGAGAAAGGGAAAAGACTTATCTTCCTTAATTGGAACCCAAAGCAATATATATACAGACATATCTGTATATATGCACACATATATGTATATGTATATGTAAATATATATATATGTATATATATATATATGTTTCCTGGCTTTTGTTTCTATAATAGCATTGCTGATGGGCAAAGTTTGAGAGACTGGCTCCCCAGTTCTGGCCAAAACTGTTAATAAATTTATTTTTCTATTTTTTACATATTTTGTATCATTTTTCTCTTATTATAAGGGAGTATTGGGACTCAGAGCAGCCTTTGGCAGGGCTTTGGTAACAGTACAAACACCCTAACAGCACTGGGCTATGGGAATCTTTGTTGTCATCGGCATGTTTTGATGTGATTCACTACAGTGACTCTGCCCCTGCCCTCCCTGGCTTCCATTTTGTCACTGGTAAATGGTGCTCGTTTGGACAAATGAACTACCACACAAGGGAGTTTCCTAAGAAGACAACTACCTAAGACCTATTGTTATTTTCTTTCTTTCTTTCTTCCTCCTTTCTTGTCAGTCAAGGGACTTGAACTCTGGGCTTGGGCACTGTCCCTGCACTCTTCAGCTCAAGGCAAGTGCTGTACCACTTGTGCCACAGAATCGCTTCCAGTTTTCTGGTGGTTTATTGGAGATAAGAGTCTCATGGACATTTGTGACTGGGCTGGCTTTGAACCTCAATCCTCAGATCTCAGCCTCCTGGGTAGCTAGGATTACAGGGGTGAGCCACTGGTGCCTAGCTTGTTATTTTCTAATATAAACTCTTTGGTCTTTGGTAGTTTCTTCTAGAACTCCCTTTCTAGAGCCTAGATCTCTCAAGCTGCCTGGGTGCATATATTTAACTTTCTTACACCACATTACCCTAAACAAAACAAATTTGCAGATAGTTCCACAAGGCTGAGCTGCTTTGACACATTCTGAGGTGGCCAAGGCACTATCAGTACTGTGTAATTATATTCCTTGCTCTCAAGGAAATTAGGGAATGTGAATATAGTCACAAAGCTAATGTATCTTATTAATATGGGCCCCGCATCCCAGCCTTCTCTTCCTTGGTTTGATTCCATCAAATACAGTTGGTGATAAACTTGTAATGTTGAGAATTGCTCTGTGATCAGCTGGAACTCTTCTGTGTGTTACTTGGAAATCTGAGAAGAATTTCTCCCATCTCTAAAGATGGGACTGTGTCAGAGCTATGCAGTGACAATGGAGACCTTCTTCCCCAAGATGTTCATTTGCAGAGTTCAAGCTTAACTATTTTGTTGTTGCTGTATTTGGTTTGAGTCTGTTCACCACAGTGCCACTTCTGGTTTCTTGGTGGTTTATTGGAGATCAGTCCCACGGACTTTCGTGCCTGGGCTGGCTTTGAATAGTGATCATCAGATCTCAACCTCCGGAGTAGCTAGGATTACACTCATGAGCCACCTACACCCAGTCTTCTTTTTAGTGATATCAAGTTTCATATTATAAATAGTACCAGTTCAGTTGAAGTCCTAATATTTACTAGATACTGGTTTGATTGTATGTTCACAGGTGTGCGTATACAACCCTCATGTGGTCTAGAAGAAAGCAGACCAAACTTTTTATGGTCTTTGGATCTGAAAAAGGGATTATAATAATCCTACAGCATTGGATTATACTTGCTGCAGCTTTTAGAATACCATGACTACTTTCCTTTTCAATTCTGGTGTTCCTCTCCCCTCCTTTTTAGTTTTCTTTGCTGTCTTAAGGAACTAGTTTGAGCAGTGACACAAAGTCCTTGGAATGTGCTGCAAGGTTCATTCTTCTGTGCTGACAGCATTGGGCCAGTGACTAACAGAGGTTTCAAAAATATAAAACTTATTCAAAAACACAAACTTATTCTTTATGCATAACTGAAACTTCTGTTTTTTTCTGCTTCGATAGACACATATATCACATCCCAGGCCAGTGCTGGCTGGTGCATTTGATGATTTATAGACCAAAAAGGAAAGAGCACACCCTGGGTCAAATCAGGACAGGTTTTTGAGAGATGCATTTATGAATTAAATACTGTGGTTTAACAGGACAGGGTTTTGAGAGATAAATTTGTAAATTAAACACTGTTGTTTCCCCTCCCCTTAATTATCCACACAATGAGTGAGACTTTTTGTGTTGCAGAGACTCCAAAGCAAAAGCTGTTTCAAGACAACTCCCTTCCTGTACTTGGTGTCTGCTCTTTAAAAGTCTCAATTCACTGAAGAAACTGCTTGAAGTCCTATGAGAAAAGGTAACAGCGCATCCCTCTGGCACAGCCCGGGGAGCTGTAGATCTTGGTAGGTTCAGAGAGGATCCTATCACTCAGCCTTCTGGTTGTGGCAGAGTCTAGCAAAAGGTAATACTGTTGTTCATTCCAAGGGACAGTGTCTGCCCACCACCAACGCATCCTCTGTGATCAGAGCAGACTGGAAGCTACAGGAACCACAGAAGTAGTCTAGATTTTTCTGACACTCTAGAGAGAGGGCTGGGCTCTTGTGAGTTTCCTGTCCCCTCAGTGGATGGCAGATGCTCCTTTATTTCATTTGTTGGAAAGAAAAGGGGCTACTTCTGTACACATGCTATCAGTTGGATAGGCCCTTGATGTATGGTTCTCTCCTTCCTCTCTGTGTTTGCGTTTTACTTACTCTCAAGCATGTGCATGTGGCAGGCTCTGGAGACCAAGCATTCCTCAGGAGGTCTTGGTGGAGTAGGAGGCGGCCAGGGATGAATGGGATAGAAGAGACTATGTGAGACTGAAGCATAGAGTGGGGTGGGGAGCTGAGGAAAGATAGGAGACCCCAGAGCTCCAGTGTCATCCTTCCTTGGCAGCAATGCCATTGAGATGGTTACATTATCTGCTTCACCTTCCTGCCACTCCTGGTGTTGCCTTGAGCAATAGGGCCAAGAGTTAAGACACTGGAAACTCCAAAGCTCTGAACCAAAATATACCTTTCCTCAGATATTGGTTGTGGTGATAGAAAGCTGTCACACCCAGTGGAGTCTTAATGTGACATCATTGAGGAATTTGAACTCAGTCATCAAATCATGGATACCATTGCCTTGCAGTCTGTACCCATTCAGGTAACATAACCTCCTCCTTATCTGAATAGCTCCAACTTTATGCCCTCCCCACTTGTGCCTCTAAGGACCCTCTGGGTGTCAACAATAAGAACCAGGTAAGCTCTGATGCAAGGTGAAATAGAAGAAAGGTGTAGGTGTGGCTGGCTTATGAATGAAAATGAAGACTTCATGCAGCAAGAACCAGGAGGACCTGGTGGGCAAATGTCTGACATTAGAAGACCATTAGGCAAGGGAGGTGGCTGGGCATGTTCATACCTGGTGAGTCTCAGGTCCAAAATGAGTAGGGAAAGCTTTTCACTAATTCCTAAGATGGGATTATAACATGCAAACTTTTTTCTTTGCCACCATAAGACAAACACTGCAACACATTCCAAAGTTGCCCAGCTTTGTCCTTTCTAAGTCACCTGCAACTGTCTGTGACAGAGTACATTAATAAGTCAGGAGTTAGGACCCAGAAATAGATTTTAGGCTGACTGGACCTGACAGCTCACAGAGATCGATGAAATGCACTTTAAGAAGCATAATGCAGAAGGAGATGTCTGGAGACTATTTTAATCTCACAGCAGGTGGCTACCATTCCTCTGGATTCCACTGGTTTTGAACCTCTGTGTTTTCTCTTCGAAACTCCCTTTCCTACAAGGCTGTGTGATCTTTTTCAAAGAAGCATTGAGATGCTGCCAAGTTTTGTCCTGGTACCTTTTGTCCTTGGCATCATTTGCTCAGGTAAGTTCAAATTCACCTTAATTATAACTGCAGCTGTAGAATTATTTAAATTGTATCTGTAAATTCTATGGGTTTATATTCTGATCATCTTACTCTTTCTGAATCACTCGAACTTAGTGGAGAGAAAGGAAAGCAAAGAAAATGTTACTGAGGGCACTGAATGTTGCTCAAAAGACTTGCAAAATATTCATCATAGAATTTACTAGATTAACTACTAATAACTACTATGTCTATCTATTGATATTTCATTTTGTCCAATATAGCCTGTAGATCTGTGCCAATATTTTGATAAATTTGTATATAAGAATTTTTTTAGCATATTTAGATACCACAACTAAATAAAAATATCTACCAAACATCTATGAATAGGGGTGTGTGGTGTAATTGTTAGCCATCTGGAAATAGAGAAATTATTAATAAGAAATGAGGATAATTAAAAGTTGAGAGAGTAAAGGAGAGAGGGAGAAGGAGCGGCAAGAAGAAAAAGGAAGAAAATTCTGAGCATTTAGGAAACAGTGGTCATTTCTACCTGCCAGTTTTCTGGGATTTGGAATTGTTTCACTTTTTGTGTCAGTACCAGAAAACCCTTCTCATAGGACCAAATCCATCTGTAGGCAAGTGCTGCATGGTGAGAAGAGTAGTATCCCACTTGCAGTTTGTATTCATTGCTCAGTAGCCTTTTGCCACATTTGGTTATTACAATTGTCACACGAACAGCTGGAGCTAGATTTGCCCAAACCCAGAAAAAAATCATAGATTTAAAGTCATAGGGCTCTGAGACAGATGTCGGCATTGTTAAACCTCCAAAATAACCTTTCATCAGTCCCAGGACTCAAAGAAAACTGTAACTTCTGAGAGCATAGACATCAAACTCATTTCACTATCAGTAAAGATGTTCTCCGCAAAGTCTTAAATACAATTTGCTAATCAATAACATAATAATCATCTCTGTGCTTTAGCATGCAATTAACGCACATGTATGTGACAAAATGCACTGAAGTCTTCTTTTTACTATGAAAGGTTTGGTTTTTAGCATAATTTCCCCAGGCATACCATGTCACTGTTTAGCAAGGACAATTAGCATAAACTCATGGTTCAGCTGTGAAGTATCCTCTGTGCACAATAAATATCCTAGGAGAAAACTAGAATTGGAGGAGCACCACTGTGTAAGCTTCAGAACTTGAGCATCAAGGAGTCTGTGGTCAGGTTTGTGAACAGTTGCTTTCAAGACATGTCAGGATTAGCTTGTATCTTATTTTGAATAGACCAAGAAGTCACTTTTGAACCACCATCAGTCTTGACTCTGTAAATATTGCTGAAGTGATGGTATAATCCTTGTCAAAGATGAAGGGCTGTTAATTCCTTTTAGTCTGGTTCCTGGTTCCCTTCACAATTTTGCTTTGTATTTTTCTCCTCCCCGCTTCTCAGCTCTGACAACACTGAACATCTTCTAGCCTGTGTTTCTCTTTCCTCATCTTGAGGCATGTTGCTTCCCTTATAAGGATACATCCTTATTCTCCCAGCCTCCCCTTCTAACTCCTGGCCAGCCAAGTACTCATGTTCTATTCTTAAAAGCTAGGCTCAAAGAAAAAAAACGTAGCTAATTTAGGTCTCTATTTCAGACTCATGTGTTTTCTTCATACTTATTTTTGGATTAAAAAATAAACTTACTATATAACCTGAGGGTAGGGATGGGGGGGAGAAAATGGGGGAGAATGAAGGAAAAGGTGACATTGACCAAGAAACACTGCTCAAAACCTGGCTTATGGAATTGTACTCCTTTTGTACAACTACTTAATAATACAAATAAACAAATTAACTTATTTGCATGGGAAAAAGAGTTTGAGCATGTAATTTTAGATGTATATGTTTCTCAACAACCCATGACAGGAAGCATGGGACCCTGTACTGAATCTCTCATAGTGAATTTGTGTAGATCCATTGGATTCTGTTTGTACTTACAACATGTGTCACCATTTCTTAAGTTCTTGAGCCTTACAACTCATTGTAAAGATCTTTTAATTGCACAGTTACTTTTATAACAAGGGAAAAATCTCACTTTTGTGGTTCTGGTTTTAGTTTAAAAATGAATAATTGTGTTATGACCATGTGATGTCTCTTGCAATGTTGATTTACATTTTGAGTGTTTGTGTCTGTTTCCAGAAAGCAGGAATGATACCTTATCCCTGCCATCAACACTCTATACCATCACATCATTCAGGAAGTAATTATTGAGCATCTACTGTACCATGGGAATTGCTCTGGGGTAGGAAAATGCAAGAGCATTCAAATAAGCCCTCAGGCTAATAATATGCCTGTGTTACTTCACTTTGTAAACTAGCTCTGGAAGTTGACTAAAAAGCTGGCAGAGTTGTGGTATGAATTTTGGACAAGGTGCTGAAAATGGAGGCAGGACCAAAACATAGCAAGTGGTTACAAAATGAAAAGTGTGCATCTCTCAGTCATACTTACTGGGCTTTAAATTTACTTCTTTTCTATTCTGTCTAAATATAAGCAATGAAATTATCTTTAATAAAATTATAAATTATTATGGGAAGATTCGTGCACTGTCTTATCAGTTATTTATATCTTTTTGTTGTTGTTGTTGGTTGTGGGCATGAACTCTGGGCCTGGGAGCTGTCCCTCAGCTCTTCAGTTCAAGGCGAGCACTCTACCACTTCAGCCACAGTGCCACTTCTGGCTTTTTCTGCTTATGTGGTGCTGAGGAATCAAACCCAGGGCCTCATGCATGCAAGGCAAGCACTCTACCACTGAGCCACCTTCCCAGCCCTCAGTTATTTATATCTTAATGTGAGTCTATCAAATTTTTGCTGAAAGTGGGTATTAAATAGGAGCAACAAGAAGCAGGACCCTAACAGCCTGAAAAAAAGAAAATGGATCAAGAATAAAGACAACCAAACACCAGTGACTCACGCCTATAACCCTAGCTATTCAGGAGGCTGAGATCTGCGGATCGTGGTTTGAAGCCAGCCAAGGCAGGAAAGTCTGCAAGATTCTTATCACCAATTAACTAGCACAAAGCTGGAATTGGAGCTATGGCTCAAGTAATAGTGCATCAACCTTGAGGGAAAAAAAACTAAGAGATAGCACCCAGGACTCAAGTTCAACCCCTCCAAAAGAAAAATTGGAAGGTCAAGTCTTGGGTACCAAAGGAAAATTTCCTTATCTCACATCCCTCATGATTCCACTGGCTGGATTTAAGAGAACATTCATCTCTTCACAGGACGTAGTCCTGGCTAATCCTTCCACCTGGATCCTCTCTCTTGGGAAAAGGGCAGACTCGAGTGAAGGCTATTCCCAGTGAATGGCACATCTTTTTTTTTTTTGATCCGGTCGTGGGGCCTGAACTCTTGGCCTGGATGCTATCCCTCAGCAATTCAGCTCAAGGCTAGCACTCTACCACTTGAGCCACAGCACCACTTCCGGCTTTTTTTTCTGCTTATGTGGTGTTGAGGAATCGAACCTAGGGCCTTAAGCATGCAAGGCGAGCACTCTACCACTGAGCCAACTTCCCAACCCTGAATGGCACATCTTAAACTTTGCTTTTTTGTATATTGTCAGGTACATATCTCTTTATTTATTTATTTATTTATTTTTTTTTTTTTTGGGGTCCGGTCATGGGGCCTGAACTCTGGGCCTGGGAGCTGTCCCTCAGCTCTTCAGCTCAAGGCAAGCGCTCTACCACTTGAGCCACAGCGCCACTTCTGGCTTTTTTCTTTTTGCTTATGTGGTGCTAAGGAATCGAACCCAGGGCCTCTGGCATGCAAGGCATGCGCTCTACCACTGAGCCACCTTCCCAGCCCTCTCTTTATTTATTTTATACCAGTGCTGGGACTTGAACTTAAAGTCTTAGGTGATTTTTTTTTTTTTTTTTTTGCTCAATGCTGGTATTCTACTACTTGAACTGCACAGCTCAACTTCTGGCTTTGGGTGGTTAATTGGAGATATGAGTCTCATAAACTTTCCTGCCAGGTTGACTTTGAACCTTAATCCGCAGATCTCAGCTTCCTGTGTATCTAGGATTACAGGCATAAACCACCAGTTCCTGGCTTTGGTACAGATTTTTAATTCCAGCACTTGGGAGGCTGAAGCAGGATTTTTGAGAGTTTGAGGTCAGCTACAAGTAATACATTGTCACAAATAAAATAAAATAAAATGTGTATGTGCACACGTGTACATGCGCATATGCGTGTGCGTGTGTGTGTGTGTGTGTGTGTGTGTATGTGTGAGAGAGAGAGAGGCAGACAGAGAGGGGGAGAGAGAGAGAGTACATAGGAGAGAGAAACAATGAGAGAGAGCATGAGAAAGAAAGAATAGGGGCTGGGAAGGTGGCTCAGTGGTAGAGCGCTTGCCTTGCATGCCTGAGGCCCTGGGTTCGATTCCTCAGCACCACATAAGCAAAAAAGAAAAAAGCTGGAAGTGGCGCTAGCCTTGAGCTGAAGAGCTGAGGGACAGCGCCCAGGCCCAGAGTTCAGGTCCCACGAACAGACCCCCCCCCAAAAAAAAAGAAAGAATGAGAGAACAAAAAATCAAGCACCGGTTCTTCCCAGGCCATACTTGACCCTGGGAGCTCACTGGGAGAGATTAAATGCCTTCCTTAATTAAGATCATGCAACTTGGAATCTGAGCCAGTATTTGTACCTCTGATCAGGGCCTCTCAATGTTAAGCAATTATTTGTTGGATTCTTGTTCTGACAACGGTTGAGGTAACAAGGAACTTGTCATTCTGGGTCAATAGTGTGTTCTGGAGTATTTTCTCACCTTAGCTGTCATTGCAGGAAATAAGTAGTTCTGGCTGGGCATACCCATCTTGTCTCCCAATCACTAGCTAGTACTCTCTGACCTGCTCTGTTCCTCCCTGTTTTTGTCTTCTGCCTATGGAATTGTCTGTCTGTCCCTGCTCCCCAGCAAAAAAAAAAAAAAAAAAAATTGACCAACAAAAAAATGAGACAGTGATTAAACAGGGAGAAGAGGAGGTG